TTACCCTGGACAGTCAGTGTAAATACTGGACTGTCTACATCAATACCATACACCCGGCAACTCTGTCCAAGCCAGATCTTGGCCAATTGCTCTTAACATTTGGATAAGGGTTTCAGAGCACCCGGACAGGGAATTAAATCCTGTCTTTCTTGTCACCTCGGACAGCTTGACCTAATGGGAGAGTGAAACAGGGTTTCCATTTCTGGCAGCTAGGATGAAAATCACAGCAGCAGCAGCAGCAGCAGCAGCAGCAGCAGCAGCAGCAGCAGCAGCAGAAGAAGAAGAAGAAGAGGAGGAGGAGGAGGAGGAGGAGGATTTTAAACAGAGGCTAGGTGGCCATCTGTCAGAAATGCTGACTGTGTGAACTTAGGCAGATGAGAGGGAGGGCTGGAAGTGTTGCATCAGTGCTTTATCACAGATGATAAAATGTCCCTTCTTTCTGTCCACCCTTCAACCCCATACTTTCTCCATTGTTCCATTTGTATATCATATCCAAACATTTTCACCCTGACCATATTCAATAACCCGCAGAAAGAGGAGGAAATAAGAGCCTTGACGGTCCTCAGCTGCTGCTATCCCACTGAAGCGAGTTTGCAGCATCTTCCCGGGTTCCCCGCTGCATGTAGCTGTCAAAGTGTCATAGTCCACAACATTTATAGTGGATTAAACCTTGTTAGCCTTTAAAATTCCACTATACTCCTGTCTAGGGGAGGTGCTATAACTTGGAATTACTGAAGTTGGTGGGATGACACTCACTGAGACTTGGTGGGATGACACAATTAGAATATTAGAATCAAGGGGTAGAACTTATTTAAAAAGAACAGAAATGAGGAAGGATGGAGGAATAGCATTATATGTAAAGGAAGTATATAAAAAGGTAAAGGTTCCCTTGAGGTGTTGTGAAAGACTTCCTCCCGAGACCTTGGAGAGTCACTGCCAGGCTGAATATACAGTACCGTCTTGATGGGCCAATGGCTTGATTCAGTAGAAGGCAGCTTCATGTGTATTTTAACTTCTGCCAGGAACGCAGTTACTGATCAACAATGAGAGCTCACGGGAGGAGACTGTATAAATATAAAGACACTCCGTGAATGAATTACGAACATAAGCAGAAAACTTATATTGTATGAAACACTTCGAACATTTTAAAATCTTTGTTAAAGAACCCTTATTATTATTATTTTTTACAGAGTTAGGAACAAAAAGTACTTGATACAAAAGGAGAATACAATTAGAGTCCACAATTCCTTTGTATAAAAAACTTCAGGAGTGCAATAGTTCCACGTCATATGTGAGTGCAGCTATGCATGGCTGGCTTCCCTTCCGCATTCACGTTGCGCTTCTTCAGGTAGCTGGTTCTCTTTAGCTGTGAACTGAACAAAGAGATGGGACCTGGTGATCAAGGGAGATTTCAATTACCCGGATATCTGTCGGAAGCCCAACTCTGCTAAAAAGGAAAGGTCCCATAAATTCCTGACTTGTCTTGCTGACAACTTCATTTCCCGAAAAGTGGAGAGGGAAAAAGGGGGATCTGCTAATTTTGGACTTGATTCTCACTAACAGGGAAGAACTGTTTGATGAGGTGAAAGTAGTGGGCACTTTGGGTCGCAGTGACCATGTAATTTTAGAATGTACAGTCTTAGGGAAGGGAAAAGCTGTATGTAAGACATATAGGTTGGATTTCAGGAAAGCAAGTTTTGGCAAACTTAAAGTTATGCTGGGTAGAATCACATGGTCAGAAATTCTTAAGGAGAAGGGAGTTCAAGAGGGGAGGGTGTTTTGGGCACCCCAGTTTAAGAAGGATACGGATGAGCTGGAACATGTTCAGAGGAGGGCAAGGAAGATGCTGAGGAGCTCTGCGGACCAAGTCCTGTGAAGCAGGGGTCATTTTGTAGAAAAAGAGGTACAGGAGCTCATTAGCAAAACTCATTAGCATAACTTATTTGCATATGCCACACCCCCTGACGTCACCGGAAGTGTGTCAGAAGGCAACACCCACCGCTCAGGCTCCACTGGACTCTTTTGGATTGCTAGCTATTGGGAGGGGGGAAACGTGCAGATCTGTCCTCGCAGAGGAGGGAGAGCTGGTACCTGAATAAAACTTGGTCTTAAAGGTGCCACTGAACTGTTTTGGACCGGGGAGGCGGGCTCTGCAGCTTACCTGGCTGCTTCTTGCTCTGACTGAGGGCTGCTGGGAGCAGGGGGTGGGGCTTGTTGCATGTGCCCGGCCCCCTGGGCTCATTACTACCGGAGCTCCGCTCCTGTGCGCTGCTGCAGGAAATGACCTGCCTATGAGGAAAGGTTGAAGGAGCTGGGTATGTTTAGCCTGGAGAGGAGACGACTGAGAGGTGATAGGATCACCATCTCAAAGTCCTTGAAGGCCTGTCATATAGAGGACGGTGTGGGGTTGTTTTCTGTTGCCCCAGAAGGCCACCCCAGAACCAACAGGTTGAAATAAAATCAGAAGA